GACTGGACAGGGGCAGACTGGACAGGGGCAGACTGGACAGGGGCAGACTGGACAGGGGCCTGGAGGACAGGAGACTGAACTAGAGTAGAGTGGAGGACAGGAGGAGACTGAACTACAGATGGCCGGACGGGAGGCGACTGGACTGACTGGAGGGCAGGAGGAGACTGAACTACAGGGGACTGGACTGGAGCGGGCTGGACTACAGGCTGGACTGGAGCAGGGGTGTGAACTGATTGGACTGAGGAGGCTAATGGATAAACAGAGGTCGGTGAGGCTAATGGCTGAGCTGCGGTTGGTACGGCTAATGGCTGAGCTAAAGACTGAGCTAGTGAGGGGGATAAAGCTGCAGCTTGGGCTAGTAAGGCTGGTGCCTGAGCAGGGGACAGGTCAGCTAGCCTAACTAGAGACAGTGCTAGTGCGTGGAAAGCTGAGTGAGGAGATAGATGGGGTGGCGAACTAGCAGGTGGACAAGTTAGCACTTCCGTGCCTCCAGAGCGTGAGGGCACTGGCTAGAGAGCCTCAGCTGAGTCTCTAGGGGGGTCAGGCCGGATCCTGGCCGCCCTCAGCCTGGGCGCTGGGACAGGCGCGGGAGGTGGCTGGACACCAGTCACCCCCACCCGAGAAACAGGAACGGGTGTGGAGGTAGACTGGGTCACCGCTGCTCTCGTCCTGGGAGCCGGCACCGGTGTGGGTGCTAGCTGGACCCTATCCACCCGAGGGGGTGCTACAGGGATAGGCTGAGCAGATGGAGGGGAAGGCAGGCTCTGAGCTGCCCTGTTAGCAGCAAGAGGGTGAGTGACAGGCGAGGAAATGGTGATTGAGTGGGAGAAATCACTAGGTTCAGTAGGGTTAAGGTCTCTAGCAGTGGCCTGTGATGATAGAAAAACAGTTTCTTCGGAGGTAGGATGGTGAGTATTAGTGGGGTAGTCCAGGATGTAGTCACAGTAAACAGTCTTTGGCTTAGGTGGGTGGTGAACAGTCTCTGGATTAGGTGAAAGGAAAAAGTCCATTTTGCTCGCCGACTGATCCTGCTGCTCCAAACAGGAAGAGCGACGGCGGCGTGAGCCTTGCTTCTCCCTAGCGGAAACAGCTGAGCCGCCAAGCGAGAAAGCCTCCCCTGAGCCGAGGTGGGAGGCAGCGTCGCTGCGGCCTGGCGAAGTAGAAGGGCCGGAAAGTAAAACGGCTGGCGGGCGAGCGAGGAGCGGAGCGGCGGGAGGGTGAGCAGCCGAAGCTCGGCCTGTGACGCCCACTCTCCACGGCGAATGCTCCAATGCAGGTGAGGCAGCGGGTGGAGGACCGCGGCGTCTCCGAGGCCCGCCCAGAGCCAGGCGGGTCCCCTCAAAGACGCGCTCTCTTTCGGCGAAGAGCCGCTGTTTCCTCCTGAGCTCCTCCGCCCAGTGGGAGAGCGCTGCCTCCTGCCGCTCGAACAGGTCCGAGTCCACTGAGTCCCAAGCGTGTCTTCGTAATGCGGGTCGCGTCATTCTGTCAGGGGTTGCTGAGTGGATGTGGAGAAAAGGACTCAAACGCACGACTCACGGTGAAGATGCAGGGTGTTTATTGTGAGGGACGAATGACGAAAACAGGAGATGGTTGGCTGACTGAATAACTAACTGAATGAACGGCTGACTGATCTGAACATGGGGCATAGACAGCAGTGACAACATTAATGACGCGATGTCTGTGAAGGTTCTCACCCTGATTGGGACCCACACCCAGTTTCACACCTTGGCTCAGGCGATTAGAGGATCATCAGGGGGTCCTTTTGTCCCTCTGTGGGGGGTTACTCCCACTAGGTTTATATCTGGGACTCTCCACCATTTGACCTTAGAACTGAAGAAGCTTCTCGGATGAGAGGTGAAACGTCTTCAAGCAACTTAAAGAAGTCCAGACGCTTTTCTTTGCAAGCTCCTTTGACCATTAATGACGCGACGCTGACCAGGAGAGACCTGAGGACTTAAATACACTGGCTGAACAATGACTGATAGGTGACAGGTTAGTGAGCAGCTGAACACAATTGAACTAACGATGCATGGAATAAGAACTAGAACATAATGCACACAGAGTAACGTAACACAAAGCAGGAAGTGGAATGTACAGAGGATAAACAGTGAACATGAACTGAAAATACTGGGTCAACGACCTAGAAACCCTGACAAATCGTAATAGAAGTTTATCAGTATCAAAAAACTTGTCAGTATGATTTCAGGCAATGTTTAAATAAAGCACATAGGACATCTTATCTTAAGACTGTTGCAGTGTTTTCAAAAGATAGGACAGTGATTGTGCTAATTAATACTGGAGTGATGACTTTTTTCTCAAGAAATTATGATCTTTCCACTGTGCTTGGATATATGGAGGGCCATGAGTGCCAAAATGAATTAAATAAATATATCAGTTAACAAGTAATTAAATTTTTTATTAATTAATTAAAATAAGGAATAATTAATTTAATATATAAATGATTAATTCAAATGCAATGAAATTGTTTGTTATATTTTCATTCATTTTATTTTACTTTTTAAATTTAATTTAATTTTAAAATGTTTTAATTTAATTTATTGCATGTACTAAATGATCTATTTTTTGTTATGTTATATGAGCTATGACGGGTTTTTACCATCAAGTAACTATTGAGCTGTTTGGTGTTTTGATGACCACAGACAGTGCCTTTAGACAAGAAATGGGCTTATGTAACATTTCATCAGTCTGTTACATTGAGAACCTTCGTCACACAGTTCATCTTTCTTACGGCTTCAATCAGACATTCGCACAACATTAATGAAATGAGGTATCGTTCCTGAGTGAAATTATTTAATATATAGAGAGAATCTGGGAGACAGACAAGTGCTCTACTCTGAAATTAGGCCTAAAACCTTCCTTTTTTTCACTCACCTCTTTTTTTTACTCTCTTTGTTTATAAAGCACTTTGCATTCAATCATTAGTTATTATTATTAAACTCTGCTTCTCTTTCACTGCCTTTTTTCCTATCTCCCTCCCCTTATGCCTATCATGACAGATGGCTGCCCCCCTCTGAGCCTGTTTTTGACTTTTTCCTTCCCACTGTCGCCAGCTGTAGGGTCTTGATGTCCATTGATGTGACTGTTGTTACAATTTGGTGCTATATAAATTAAACTGAACTGAATAGAATATGCAAGATCTGGCTGTGCATCATACATGCATACATGTAATGCATAGTATGAGCTATCTTAGCATGGCACTATTTTGATTTATTTTAATAATTAGAGGAAACCTCATATAAGAAGTTATTGGAATGCTTCCATACACACTTTAGAAAACCATATTAATCCCATCAGGCAATTATTGAATTGCATCTTATTAAGTGTGACTCTGATAGCTAGCTAGTCTGAAATGAAATAAGCAATTTGCTATAACAAACTCTAAAGAAAGGCTTATTAAAACAGCAGGATACAATAATCTTCAGAACTTGGATTATAGTCATTACCGGCGAGTGTAGTTAATCTGGCCTGTCACATACTCTGTCCCCATCATGGTTAAGAAAAAAAAACATCAGGAAAATGTTTTACATGTTACAGCTGTGAAACTGTAGAGGAAGGTAAATGAAGCAAAATCCAAATACGTGAAATGAGTGTTAGGTTTTTGGAGAGGTCTGTGGACAGTGTTCCGCAGGCAACTAAAGCACCCAAATTGTGAATTTTGTGTTTTAGGCCCATGTCATTTTAGTGGTCCAGCATTGGTGCTTGAAAGAAAAACAATGTAACATTTCAGACATGATTTGAAAAGCAGAAAACAACCTATTTGCCATATAACCTAATTTTTTCATTACAAAGCTGCTCTGATAATTCTTAGAAAATGGTTAGGGCATGGTGTCTCATTTTACTCGTGTTTGGAAAATTCTCCAAAACACTAATTTTTATTGCATACATAAACTAATTTTTCATAGAAATGGGTGCTTATTAATAGAAATGATTCATAGAAATGTCTGCATGTCTGAAAGGCGCTCGCTTTATTGTATCATCTTTAAGTCTTCCATAGGTATTCATCCAGTTTGGGATTGGTGAAGTGGAATGTGTTAGCATAAGTACGCTATCAATGATTTTTTAAACTAATCAATAATCTCTTTTGCCTGGTTGTGAAAGCATTTGCATTTGTTGTGTTCTCTTTAATTAACTTGTCACCAATCATGGATTGCATTACTTTTTTTCATTTTTTTGTAATCCAAATAAAAGCAAGTCATCTGTGATGTAGGGCTCGTCTTTTTCATTAATTACAAACTTACAGCAAACAGAAAATTTCTCAAATTCAGTTTACCTGCCTCAATTCCTGATTGATTTGTGGCAAAATAAGTAAAACAATCAGCACAACAAGACTTTCAGCTAAATTTAATCCATACAGCTGGTCATAATTCGTACTTACTGATGTCACACAAGGCTGTCATCTGCCTATGAATTTAAATCAATTCTGTCATAGACATTCAAAGAATGGCCTGTAAATGGCCTGTATTTGTATAGCGTTTTACTTATTCCCTAAGGACCCCAAAGTGCTTTACACTTCAATCAGTCATTCACCCATTCACACACACATTCACACACTGGTGATGGCAAGCTACATTGTAGTCACAGCTGCCCTGGAGCGCACTGACAGAGACGAGGCTGCCAGACACTGGCGCCACTGGGCCCTCTGACCACCACCAGTAGGCAACGGGTGAAGTGACTTGCCCAAGGACACAACAACCGAGAAGAACAGTTTAGTGCTAAATGTGACATTTACCACTATAATTCCATATTAAAAATGGGAAATTCAGTTGTTAAAGCAAAGAAATATTATCTGCTCTCTCTATGGGCTACTATAATCATGCCAAGTGCAGAACGTTAAAGTCAGTGAAGGAAATTAGTGTCTTTTGATAGAGTGAAAAAAAACTATTATTTTATAGCAGGTGAATCGTACTTTTTTCTCAAGTTCCAAGTGTACTCTAAGCTCTCTATGTGTGAATGGAACAAATGTTTTCTCTGGCAATTGTATTGAAATGCCGACTAGTACATACATGCATATCACAAACCATCTTTGACCAAGAGTTTTTTTGACTGGTGTTGTGTTATTGCATGTTCTATTTAGTTCCTTTAATATTCATTCTTGGTAGCTTTAGCTTTTAGTTCTTACTTTCAGTTTCTTTCATTTGTATAATACTGTATAATATAAAGTGCCTTGAGGCGACTGTTGTTGTGATTTGGCGCTATTTAAATTAAATTGAATTGAATTGTATGTTGTGTGTTATTTTTAGTGCTGTTAATGTTAATGCATTAACGCATCAAAATTGGCAAATCCCCGTTAAAGAGTTAACGCAGATTAGTGCGTGTGAGGGGTTACTCGGCATTAACGCATTAATGCATCTTAAGCATGTTAACGCTGTCATCGTGACTAACGCGATTAACAATTAACTCATCTGAAGCGCAGACTGACTCAAAATCCCTGGAATGTCTCTGTCAACACATTTTTGGGCAGTTTGTCCGACGTTTGTCCATTCTGTGCTCCAGACAGGTTGAGTGCGTTTTTTAATCACGTTAATCGTGATGAGGCTGTATTAACGCATTAAAACTGACAGCACTAGTTATTTTTCCAAGTCCCCTCTTCCCTTCTTCTATGTTAAATTGTATTGTGTATTTTTCTCTTTATTTAGTTCTTTACTATGGGGGTTTTTGTGCCAGTCTTTTGTCTCTTGTTCTTCATCCTTAGTTTTACTGCCTTGTCTTGTTATCCCTGATTAGTCTCACTTGAATTTATCTGCTTCTTGTCAAGTGGTCTCTGTGACAATAAACATCTAAGTTGTGTAAAACGCAGTGCAGTCCAGCTCATAAGTACAAATTACTCGTGAGTTATAGCATAAACACCTTTAGAGGCACTGAACCTGTACAACTGCATTGCAAAAGGGTCTCTAGTTACATGCTTATTCCATGGGTCGGATAATATGCATTTCCAAATTTACCATCATTTGAATTCAACTACATACCTAAGTTTATCAAAAGATACTGCCACAGTTGTCACACTGTCATGTGGAATTAATATACCTTCATGTTAGTTCTGGATATGATAAGTGTTTCTAGGATCAGCACATTTTGCCACAATACACACAGACAAAAAATGTCATACACAGATTCACAGCTGGTAATAAGTCTTGTATTTTAACCCAAACCACTACTTTTGAAAAAGTGTAATCATGAATATAATTCAGGTTGTTTGAGATGGAAAACTTACAGAGGAGTACTTGTTCAGTCTATTTCTAAATATACTGTCATAAACTTTAATATTTAACATTCTGACTGAGGCCTGTAGTGACTGAAATGTAATTACACACTTGTGAAAGAGAACTTCAGCACATAAACTGTTTAATATGACAAGTAAGAAAAACACAGACGCTCTTAAGCACCAGGCCTTCCTCAGTGTTGAGGAAAGCCTTACACTGAAGTGTTGCCTCGTATTACACCTGCCAGTCTGTTTACATGC